AACAATTTTTAACAATAAGTATCTTTCATTTTAATTTTTTCACTCAAAAGCTCTTAATGCTTTTTTAATAAATAGCATTAAAAAGCTTTTAGAAAGCTATTTAACTAAAAAGCTATTAAAAATCCCTTTTAAAGAAAAGACTTTTCAACAATGAAAAGCTTTTTCTCAGAAAGAATTTCTTCCCTCAAATTACCTGCATTTTCTTTTTATTATACTGTTTCTCCTCAAAAAATATAGCCCGACCATCGGGATGACTTTCCTGCACAATTTTACTGCCAAAATGATGAATTTGTGCCAAATGCCTTTCGAAATCTGGCAAAGGAGCCAATAAAGCTCTAGCCTCTTGCAGCAGTGAGGGATTATTGAGAAAATCTGTAATAGCTTCTTGACGCTCGACAATAGCGCTTAGAACACACGAAGGAGCACACAACCAATGATGCAGCAAACGTTTACCAAACTTGGTGCAGCATTGATCCAAAGTAGACTGCAGCGAATGTTCCTCGCCGGTAATACGTAAATTCATTAAGGTGGTGGCATCTAAAACCATATGAGCTCTTTGATTAGTGGAGATTTTTGAGGGAACTTTATCTAAGGCCAAAGTATCGGGCGGCTGGTAGAGATGATAACGAGCCATGGGTAAAACTTTTTCCGCTACATGACATTTTTTCATATAGTTCAGGCATAAACCTAAGGCTTTCAAAGCCAGCTTGGCATCAGCGTGAGGAGTTAAGCCCAAGTGATCCGTTTCCGACTGCATTGTTCTTAAAACCATAGGCCAATTGTCGCCACCAGCATAATATTTTTCGGCCAATTCTTTCAAGGTCTTTTCAGCTGTACTCTGCATGGAACCGACATTGGGCATATACTCCTTTAAAACACCACTTAAAACAGTGCGCATTATATCTTGGGTCTTTTCTTGAATATTTGCTTTTTCTAATACCACTAAGACTGGCATATTATGCGAGAGCAGGGTAAGTAAACGAGAACAATTTGTATCATCCTCAAATTCTCCCAAATAACAATCACCTATAGAAGTGTCTATAAAACAAATGCCGTAACTACTGCAGCCACCTGACTGGGCGGATTGCTGCTCTACTATGGCCAACATATAGTTGGGTTGATGATTAGGTGTAATTTGACACTGACTGCCAAAGACTTGTGTTCCCCGGGAAGTAATTTGGCAAATTTCCCTGCGCACCACTTTATCAAACTTAGTGGGCTTAATACGTTTACATCTTTCAGTCATCATGTCAGGAGTTTCTGTCTGCTCAACACGCGCCACTTTATAGCCTCTCTCCACCAACACCGAGGCCATTTTATCAAAAGATATTTCCGGAAAACCAGAATGAGCAAATTCTCCGCGCATATAGGTAAAACCCAGTTCATTTACACCTACATCAGCGTCCATGTGATAAAGTTCATAGAATTTTCCCACTTTAAAGAAAAGTACACAATCAAAACTTTCGGATTTTAAAACCCACCATTGGCGTACTCCCTGACAATAGAAATTATTACAATTAACACTTTTGTTTTAGATTTTATCACTTACCGGAGATAAAGAATCCAAAAACTTGGGTGGCACATACAGGGTGGAGGGATCATAGTCTGGATGATCCGGCCTACGTCCTTGTTTATCTTTGATTTTATCCGCTTTTAAAAATTCCAATTTCTGATGAGGCCACACCACCGGCTCATCTAAATTGGAGGTAATAACTTCTTCACATTTAGCTTCTTGCTTTTTCGAAGTTTTACCCTCGCTACCCGCTTTTAGCTGTTCTAATTTATCCATAAAACTGCCCGCCGTAAGAGTGGCATCCAATTTCGTTTTCTTCGATTTGGGTTCATTATTATTGTTCTAAAAATTAAAGAAAACTTCAAAAATCAGTATCATTTTGAAACAGCTTTCAACTCACATGATTTTTCTTTATTTCTGGGGAAGATTCCACCTCTGAATCCCCTTTTTCTTCTTCATTCTCCGAGGGCATTTCTTCATCTTTATTGGGTTCATAGTCACTATCATCTTTTGCTTTTCCTCTAGATTTTTTCGTTTGTTCCTCCTCTTCCTCCTCGGAATCTTGCAATACCAATCTTCTTCTCTTCTTTGAGGTGGTGGCCACTTCCTCCTCTTCATCTGAATCTATGATTTTCGATTTCTTGATCTTCTGCTTCGCTGAGTTTTCCTCTTTATTGGTTTTGTTTTGAAGATTTTCTTTTTCCATTACATTTTTCTCGTTTTTCTGTTGTTTTTCCTCGCCTCCAGCTGATGGGGTCACAGGAATTTTTTTCTTTTCCAGGGTCGCCGGCGACCGAGAGAAATAATTGAATAAGTTATTTTTAGGCGAGGCTACTGAACTGCCTAAGCTGGTGTTAAGTTTTTTGGACATTTTTTAACTTACAGCGAGGACGCCTTTGCAATTAATGTGTGACCGATTAATCTTCTGTGCAAAAATTTTTTAGAATAAAATCAATAATGCGCAATTTTTGGCGCCCAAGGCCAGTGTTGTCAATACTTGGAAAATAATAAAAGCCGTTATTATATTAAAAAGCACTTGTATTGAATTTTTGGTAATTCAATTGTTAATTTGCTAAATAAAATTTATTTTATTTGATATATCAACATTTCTTAATCTGTTCGTTATTCTTAATCTCAGGTAAGCGATTTAACACATAAACATAAAATAAAAAAAAATCATGATCATAGTTTTATTAATATTTCTATCAAACAAGAGCGAAATCGTTACATAAATAACTCGAGTTATGATTAAACAAACTTCATAACCTCACTTTTTTACTAAAATGTCTTTCATGTTAAAAAAATAATTTTTTCTGGCTCTATATAATGTAGTAATAGCTTTTAAGAAAATTTCTACCGAAATTTGACGAAATTTGGGTAAAAATGACTGAGTTATAATCAAAATAAAGGATTAACTCTGTTTTGTTTACAAAAATACCTTTTTTGTTGAGTGAAATGGTCATCACTGTTTACTATTAAATATATATAAAAGCTGGTAGATTCGCATACTTTTTAAAGCTATCAACAGTACTGCCAAGTTTATGCAAACAGCTGTTTGTCTTGTTTTGACGTGCAGCATAAACGTTTTGTTTATACATTTCAATATTTAATAATTATTTTTTACGAGAAATTGCATTAAATTTTTACCATGTCTTTGGCTGATGAACTTTTAGCCGATTTAGAGGAAGATAATGAACCAGAGGATGATTTGGCCATGGAAGAAACTGCCGAGGAAGCGGCTCAGGCAGAAGAAATTGCCGAGAAGCTATTAAAACCCAGTATAAATCTCATGGAAGTGGATGTTAAGGTGCAGTCAATTAGAGAACTTTGTAAATTAAGAGATTCGGATAGATTGCAGTATATACTCAAGCAAATAGAACACTATGCCCAAAGGCAGCGTACCTCAGCGGAAATGTTGGGTAGTGTAGAATCAGATCCGGAGTATTGTTTAATAGTGGAGGCCAATGCCATAGCAGTGGATATAGACAATGAGATATGTAAGTTTATGGCGGGAAATAGAGGAGATAAGCAGTAGCAACCAATTTGTTTTTAATGTGTTTATTGCAGCCATTATCCATAAGTTTACCAAGGAAAAGTATCAAAAACGTTTCCCGGAGTTAGACTCCTTGATAGTAGGTGAAATTGAGTATCTGCTGGCGGTTAAAGAATTGGGCAATGATTTGGATCAGGTGAAAAATAATGAAAAATTACAGGCTATCTTAACTCAGGCAACTATTATGATTGTTTCGGTGACAGCCTCTACCACACAAGGGTAAGTTAAGGTAATTTGGTTTTATAACAGGAGTATTAAAGGAATTTATTTATTTTTATAATAGAACCTTGTTAACGCCTGCCGAAAAGGCTCAAATCGATGAGGCCTGTGAAATGGCCATCGATTTAAATAATTTCAAAACCAAAATTTATGAATATGTCGAAAGTCGCATGACTTTTATTGCACCCAATTTGTCTATGATAGTGGGAGCCTCTACAGCTGCTAAACTATTAGGTATTGCTGGTGGTTTAACTAAACTATCCAAAATGCCCGCCTGTAATGTTCAGGTTTTAGGTTCCCAAAAGAAAACTTTATCCGGCTTTTCTAAAACTCAAATGTTGCCTCATACCGGCTATGTTTTCTTTTCACAAATTGTCCAGGATACGGCACCAGTAAGTTTTTTTTTTTTTGGGAAGTTTTAAAAGCAATATTAAAATTTTGTTTAATTTTCTAGGATTTAAGACGTAAAGCAGCCCGCTTGGTGGCAGCCAAAGCTGTTTTGGCGGCCCGTGTAGATGCTTGTCATGAAAGTGTGCATGGAGAAATAGGTTTGAAATTTAAGGAGGATATAGAAAAGAAATTGGATAAACTACAAGAACCTCCACCCGTCAAATTCATTAAACCTTTGCCCAAGCCCATTGAGGGTAGTAAGAAGAAAAGAGGTGGCAAAAGAGTGAGAAAAATGAAAGAACGTTATGCTTTAACTGAATTCCGTAAACAAGCCAATCGCATGAACTTTGGAGATGTAAGTTTTAGTATACAATTTTTTTTTTTAATTATTTTTCATTCAAAAAATTTTTTTCCTAGATTGAAGAAGATGCTTATCAAGATGATTTGGGTTATTCTCGTGGCACTATAGGAAAAACTGGCACAGGACGCATACGTCTGCCACAAGTGGATGAAAAGACTAAAGTGCGCATTAGCAAGACCTTACAAAAGAATCTACAAAAACAACAGGTCTATGGTGGCAGTACTACAGTAAAACGTCAGATATCCGGTACAGCCTCTAGTGTAGCCTTTACTCCCTTGCAGGGCTTAGAAATTGTCAATCCCCAGGCCGCAGAAAAGACTCAAACCGAAATGAATGCCAAATATTTCTCAAATACTTCCGGCTTTCTTTCAGTAGGCAAAAGAACTACTTAAACATATTTCCAATAAAAAACTTTATTGCAAAAAAAAACTTACAACATAAATTACAATTTTTCTTAATTCAAAAATGTTACAAATTTGTTGGCAAAAATGTTTTTGTCTGAGATTTTTCTTCGTTTACTTAATTACAAAATAGATACTTTTTTCTTTAAGGAATGCCAAGGCTTTTCAAAAGCAATTGTCGTCAAGTTAATAAGCGAGGAGTTTATAAAAAGAAATATTTTTGTTTTTGCTTTAAAAGGAATAAATTGAGGAAAAGTTATAGAGGAGCTTTATAATGTTGAAAGTAAACAGCACCTTTGGTATATAGTTGTATAAATATAGCTGTTAACTTAGTTTACCGATCTCGAGTTTTCTCAAAGCCTCCCAGGAATTGTTGAGAAATACCGCTATTATACCTGCAACGGTAAAAACGCCACCTATAATGGAACAACAATTGGTAGCAAAGTGACCAAATGATCTGAAAAGAAAATTTAATATTATAGAAAATTTTTTCAAATTTTAAAGTTTTTTTATGAATTTTTTTTTATTTCTTTAAAAAATTTTGTTTTTTTTGTAAATATTTTTCTTAAAACATACCTTTGCTGTTCTTCATATTTCACCATTAACGGTGACAATTCATAGGAGAAAAATATGCCCGGCATGCCACGTTCTTTTGTACTCAAATCCTTGCGATAACGGGTAACGGAAAATTGATTTGTATAAATGGGAGCCTCCTCATTGGCCTTCATATAAACAGTGGGTATTATTTTCAAATAATAATTAAACATTTCCGATTTAGATTCTGAAAGGTAAACAATAATTTTATAAAAAAAAACTACATTTTTTCATTAAAATTTAGAATTATAGTAATTTTTTATATCATACTACAAATAACGTTTAAAAACCTTAACAAACAGTACAATAACTTCTACTAAACTATTGTGAATGATAATGTAAATAAAATTTGACATATAGAGGGCACTGTGCTACCATACACACATGACGTTTTTGATAATTTGACATAACAACAAACCTAAAGAAGAACAAGAATTATAGAAAGAAAAAGAATTACATTTATAAGGAATTTTCACATTTTTGCAACAAATTGTGAAACAAATTTAAGTGTTTTAAACACATAATAAACAAAACCTTATTTTTTAATTAAATTATTAAAAAGTTATAAAATAAATTAAAAAAAAAAAATTAAACATGCCTATGCCCAGCAGTGCATTTGGTCAACAAGGACCCTCGTGTTTTGAGAAAATGAAAACTGGCTTTACCATTGGTTTTTGTGTGGGCATGGCCAGTGGTGCTCTATTTGGTGGATTTTCAGCTTTGAGGTAAAATTTTTAAAAGAAAACTATATAGAAAACATTAAATTCCTAAAGGCCGGTTGGTTGTCTGCCGGCATTACATAATGTTTACGGTTGGGTAGAAGAAAGTACATTCTAGATTTTTTGTTTTGTTTCTCTTACAGATACGGTTTAAGAGGACGTGAATTGATCAACAATGTGGGCAAAGTCATGTTACAGGGTGGTGGCACTTTTGGCACCTTTATGGCCATTGGTACTGGTATACGCTGTTAATTTAGTGGCCGTTTTAATCTTCAAGGATTTAAAATTACATTTGGCCGGATTTCTAACGCTTTTAGTAGCTACTATTTGTTAAGTTTACTTATTAATTACAAATTATACTAATATTATAAATTTAAAACGAAAATAAATGACAAAAATCTAGAAACACTTACCTTCTGTTAGCACTTTTACTCCATCTAAGGGATGGGTTTTGGCAAATTCGATTTTGTCACCAAACGAAAGATGATTAATGGTGTGGGAGAGTTTTACATCGGCTATTTGGAAGTCGTGTATATGAAATTGTCGTATGGAAAAACTACTGCCGGGAGCTATGTGAAAACTACCAGCCATCTGTAAATAGAAGGAAATGTTCCCGAGAAATAGGTTAAAATTTACAATTTTTACTGAAAATTCTTTAATTTTATGCTACTTTTAAGTAAATTTATAGGTTTTCTATAATGCTGATAAGGTACTTGAAGCAAGTCTTAAATTTTTGAGGTTATATAGAATTTTTTTTTTTAATTTGTGTTCAGCACTATTTTTGTCAGATTACAGAGAACTTTCACTTAAATTATTCTTTATATTTAAAATAAAACGAGTTACAATTATAAACATTAAAAAAACTCACCCTATTAACTTCCAAATGACCCTGTACCCGACAACCTTCCTTAAAAGCATCTAAATCGGAACGTTTAAATTGATCTTTACATTGTTCAATTTTGTCCAGTTGGACATTCCATTTCTTCATGCGATAGGCCTCTAGAACCGAGTCACAGGTATTGCAACAGCTAAAAGAAACCAAAATATCAATATTCCATGAAAGAACTATTCCTTCGCCATTCCCTCCACTCTAAACTTACTGTGTACTATTGTTCTCGGCACCATAACAACTGCCACAAGTATTATTCTTATTTGAGGGTGAAACGGCTACTATTTCCTTAATAGGATCCACTTCCTTTAAAGGATTTCCCTGTAAATCCAAACGATGCTTAAAAATATCATGATCAACTCTCAAGTGTTGATCACCCGATGAGTCCATAGCATCCAAAGACAAATAATTACATGCTAAATTGTGTAAAGTTATATCTAAGTTAATTCTTAACTTATGGCCACGGGTGGTGTCCACAAATAGTTCTTCCGTAAGATTTGGAGTCATATACGCCATAAATTCCAAACATATTAATATTACTACAATGCTGCTACTAATAATGGTAACTAAAAAATAGTTATTTCGTTTAATATTAATGTGAAATTTAGGAAATATTCGAGAAAATAGGTATTTACCGGCTGCCCCTGAAACCGTTCTGACACTAAAATCTTCCAAGGTACGGGGATAGGCATCTAAACGTCTTAAAGCATCGGCTATTTTCATGTTGTGGTTATAGTTAAGACTTTTTCTTAAAATTTATTTATTAAAGTAAAATTAAACAAACATTTTTAGGTTTTTAAGTTAAATAAAAAAAATTCTGTATGTTGTGTTGTTTTTTGCACTAGATTCTTTTTTTTTTTTTTGTTAAATGACAACGTAAACAAATTATTTGACATGTATAGGAAAGTGCTGCCAAGTTCGGATAATATGAGTAATATCGACATTTGTTTTAAGATAAATCTCTAGAAAATTAAAACCTTTTTTGCAAATTTTTAATAAAATTAATTTTTATAAAGCTTTTTGCTTATTAATGATGATATTTACTTAGTATTTAATATAATTTAGTGTTTTAAGTATATTTTTATATTTTGTCTTTCATATGTTTGGTTTGTTTAGTTAAAAATCTCTATATTGTTAACACTGTTTACCGGTTAAGCAAGAGCGAGTTATTTTAACAGCTGTTTATGTTTTTGTTTCATACAAGTGTCAATTTTTCCTATATTTGTTGTTTTTGTTTTAAACACAATTTTTTTAAGCAGAGAACAACAAAGCGATTTTGACAGTTCTATTTCTTATGAAAAAAGCAGCTGTCATTACCTTTTTATTTGAGGGCTTTTGTTGTTGATTTTGTGTCTTTCATCTACAAAATAAAATTTTATTCGTTAAATAAAAGTCGTCCAGACCTGTTCGTGGGAAGACCAAGATTTTTAAAATAGAGAAAAAGAATACATTACAATTATAATTAAAGATATTGTGAAATTGAAATTAAAATAAAGTAATATAATTTGAAGAAATATTTATAAAGTAAAATATTATTCAAAAATTAAAGTTTAATAAGGAAAAAAAAAACAAATTTTACGAAATTACTACGCAATTTGTTAATTATTTTACAAAGAGTTAAAAAGCAAAACATAAACGAAAGTGTTGAGCATATAAAATATCACGAAAAGAAATAAAAGGGTAACAACTTGAAAGATTTTTTATTCTTTGGTTTTATTTAAAAAAAAGCAAAATTTTTTCCTACAAAATGTCGGCTACTCCACCAAAAATGAATGAAGATTTGCTGGGCGGTAAGTTTTTTAGTATGTTTTGTCCATAATTTTCTTAATATTTTTAAGTATTTTAAGTTAAAAAGCTAAAAAAAATTAAAAAAAAAAGAAGTATTAGTCGGCCATGTTTGTTTTTTTTTTTTTCGTCATTTCGTGTTGCTTTTCCCCTACAGCAGCTCTTGTTTTGTTTGCAGCTGGCTTTGTTTACAATGCCAGCTTTTGTTTTTGTTGTGTTTCTCAGTTCATTTTGTTGTTGTTTGAGGTTTTCGCTACAAAATATTCTTTTGTTTTGCTATGGCTATTTGTTTTTTAGTTGTGTGTGTGTGTATGAGTTTAGGTGTATACATTTTTTTATTATGATTGCCGTGTTGTTGTTTTGTAGTGGGATTTTTTTATTACTGTCTTTTTCTTGTTGCTGTTTTTGCTGGTTTGTTTAAGCTTTTTGTTGTTTTAATAATGAAATAATGATAATGAAACAAAAACAAACCGAAGAAAAAACAAGTCTTTTTTTGAATGAAAGAAAAAAGTAAACATGATTACAAACTGTTATCATACGATGTTTTTCTTTAGAAAAGGTGACCATTTTTTAAAGAAAATGTTATATTTTATAAATTAACTAGTCTGTGTTGTATAAATTATGTTTTAAAAGACTTTTTTAATAAAATTTTTACAAAATAATAGTTATGATGCGCATGTTTGGGGCTACAAACAACCCCATTTTGTTTATCATTTTCTTTTTAGGGGAGGAATTGTTGACGTTGCAAACAGCACGTACTCCAAGTTACATTACCCTTTAGTTTTAAATTAATACGCCATGTTATTACTTAAATATCCGTTAAATTAATAGACCTTAACAAATATTAATAACAAAAAACAAAGCCAGTTATTTATTTATATTCCTATTTTTTCCAATTCTGCTTTAGGTGTTATTTGTTTTTTTTTCCAAACTTCTGCGCATTATTTTTGATATTGTGCTTTTGTTTATTTGTAATCAAAATCATGTATCTATAAATAGCAACAAGCGTGTTTTTTACGATTTATTTGTTTATATTTGGCTTTATTTTTGTTTTCGTATAAAATATAAAATTTTTTTTTAAGATTTTCATATACAAAATTTACTTTGACGTCACTGGAAAAATAAAGAAGTTTTTAGTTACCTATTTCTTTGTTTTTAACCCCCCCTTGTTGGAGTCACCAGTAGAGTAAACAAATCACAAGTGTTAAAAAAAATTGCGTCTTTTAAATCTAATGTATACCTATTTAATTAAATTATTAAAACTTGTTAATTAACAAATAAACTTATCGTTTATATTTATATTTAAACTATTTTAACCAAAAACCAACTGCGGTTAATGACTTTTATAGAAACCCCTATAAAATTTTAAAAATAAATTTTATTACTCTACTACCTATTCTATATGATATTTAATTACTTTACATGACTCTTTTCTTTGTTATTTTTAATTTTTAACTGTAACCATTTATTTCAGCACGTTTTTCTACATTCTTTTTCTATTCAAAACTCTTAAATCCCTTTACTATACGTTTTGCCTACGTGCATATTCCCTTGCTTACTTTTTAGACATCTTCTTCGCCTTTGTCTGTCTATCTTTTGTTTGGGTTTTACTATAGCATTTTATTTTTCCAATCTAAAGTGTTAATAAACTTTGCAATTTTCCCCCTAACCTCTTAACCATTTTGTGTTTTTGTCTATTTTTTTTTGTATTATTTAAAAATTTCCAACTAAAATGACGTCTTTTGTTCCGACACATTGTTTAAATATTGACTAATATATTAGGGAAGATAAAGAATTTAAAAAAAAAAATCTTAAAATTTCTTTAAAAATCTTTCTTTCTTTAAATGAAAGTAAAATTTTATAAGATTTTTAAGAGAAATCTATAAAAATGTGTCTTTACAAATTTATGAAAACTAATTCCGCTTTAAAGTTTTATAATAAATTTAGTTTTTTTTTTCTTTAAATTTTAAAAAAAGTATAGTTAACCCCCTAATGTTTTTGCTGCCTATGAATTTTGTAATATTTATCTATAATTATATTTTAATTACAAATATTTGCTTTTAAGTAGAAATTTTAACGGAAAAGTGCAAATTTAATTTAAAAAAATATTTAGGCTTTTTTAAACAATAACAAATTGAACAAAAGATTTTTAATAAAACAAATATTTTGTTTAAGAAATTACGTTTTGAAAAAGTTTATTTTCGCAAGTCATTGTTAAAAACAATTCTCTAAAAAAATATTTTCTACACTATTTTCTATAACAAAGTGTTTTCCAGAGTTACTATAGAAGGGGTTTCTACTAGATTATAGACTAGACATACTGATGATTAAACTATAGACCAAATATCAGCCTATATATCAGACAATGGATCAGACTATAGACTCGACTATTGCCTATTCTATATACTAGGCTATAGTCTTGTCTATAGTCTATTCTGTAGGCTAGTCTGTAGGCTAGTCTATAGTCTAGTCTGTAGGCTAGTCTGTAGGCTAGTCTGTAGGCTAGTCTGTAGGCTAGTCTATAGCCTAGTCTGTAGGCTAGTCTATAGTCTAGACTATAGATTTTTCAAAAACGTAATATCTGATGAAACAATAGATCAGAATATAAACTTGACTATAGAATAGACTATAGGCTAGACTATAGAATAGACTATAGGCTAGACTATAGGCTAGACTATAGACTAGACTATAGACTAGACTATAGACTAGACTATAGACTAGACTATAGACTAGACTATAGACTAGACTATAGACTAGACTATAAACTAGACTATAGACTAGCCTACAGACTAGCCTATAGTCTAAAATATAGACTAGACTATAGACAATGCTATAGTCTATTATATGGTATAATCAATAGTACAGTCTGATCTACAGGCTAATGTCTACCCTATACTTCGAACACTTTTTATTTGATCAGTTATATTACATTAGTCTGATTGGAGCTCGTTTTTCAAATTATATTAAAAAAAACAACCCCCCTATTAGACATATTTAGTTTCCACATTTCTAATAACTATCAGCGGAAAGAAAACTTGTACGTTTTATTTATTATATGTCTGATTGACTGTAAAATATATTATTTGTATAATATAACCTTAAAAACGTGATCGTAACAATTACAGTATTGTAAAAATGTTAATTTTCAATAGCAACATCTTTGAAAAATAATATGTGCAGGAATAATATTTAAAAAATTAAGAGTTTGTTTAAAAGCAAAAGCGTATTTATCTATAGTTTAGTCCAATAGTCTAGTCTATAGTCTAGTCTATAGTCTAATTTATAGTCTAGTCTGAAGTTTAGTCTATAGTCTAGTTTATAGTCTAGTATATAGTTTAGTCTATAACCTAGTTTATAGTCTACTCTATAGTCTAGTCTACAATCTAATATATAGACTAGCCTATAGTCTAGTTTGTAGTTTACATAATTCCTTAATATATTCCTAACAATAAACATTTTTTAATATTTCCTTTTAATGCCTTTCTTTTCCTGCTAATTTACTTACTTTTTCTCAACTTTCATTTCCTTGTTTCTAAATTATGCACCTTTTTGGGTTTTTCCCTCTACACGCCACCGACTATTTTGAAATAAAAAGCAGGTACTAAAACCCACAGACTAATTCATGTGTACAAACCTTATTTCAAACATAATTTATTTTCACATATTTGCCGCCTTTTTAACTATTTGAACTATGACACCTACACACATGTTATGACGGCCGAACGTCACAAATATTTGATTTGTCACGATTTCTTTAAACACAAAAACCACCACGGGATGTTTTTCTAAAAATAACTCAATATTTATTTTAGGGGAAAGGGATAACGGGGCGCTGTTGAAATTTCAAAACTCAATTAACACAAAACTCCTTTTTAAAAAATACATACATATTTAAGAAACTGGCAGGTAGTTAGTTTATCAAGAAAATATTTCAAGGAATTTCTAAATATACAACAAGTTAAAGTAAAGTGTTTCTTTAAAAAAAAAAAGAAATCAGATAGATTAGACAACAGATACACAGTTGTTTTAGAAATGCAATTATCAAGGTTATTTGGTAACTTAAAACCATTT